GTAACCCATGATAGAATTTTTTGTAATACTACATGATCGAAATGTTTGTTTTTTTTTTTGAAATCCATGATCGAATATTTTGTTTTTTGCTTTTTTTGTGACCCATGATAGAGTTTTTTGTAATCCATGATCGAATTTTTTGTAATCCATGATCGAATTGTTTTTTTCTTTTTTTGTAATCCGCGATTGAATTTTTTGTTTTTTGTTTGTTTGTTTTTTTTTGTAATCCATGATCGAATTTTATGTAATCCATGATCGAATTTTATGTAATCCATGATCGAATTTTTTGTAATCCATGATTGAATTTTTTGAAAATTTGTGATTTATTTTTTTTAATCCATGATCGAATTTTTTTTTGTAATCCATGATAGAATTTTTTGAAAATTTGTGATTTTTTTTTTTAATCCATGATCGAATTTTTTTTTGTAATCCATGATAGAATTTTTTGAAAATTTGTGATTTTTTTTTTTAATCCATGATCGATTTTTTTGAAAATTTGTTTTTTTTTTTTAATCCGTATTATTCAAAGAGAAAATGAGAGAGATGATGATTATGAGGCCACCCTATCCCAGCCATATTATTCACATATCGAGTCCCAACAGCAACAGTGTAGGGATGAGCACGATAGTGCAGGTGAGCATGAAGGATGGACAATCTTCGGGGATTTTAGATTGGGAACACAACAAAACATTAACACTCAGGGATTTGGAAATAGTCAGATGCCTGCTAATATCGATGATTCGTTTTTAGATCGAATCAATGAATTGTTAAACGAATTCAATCAATGGCACCAACGTGACCAAGAAGAACAATAACGTCGTCTATCATTTTATTTTTAGATCATATGTTACTAATATTATGCTTTATTGTAGTCCATGTATGTTGATATACTTATTCCATGATAATTCTATGTTTATCCTTTTGTGTGATGTAAATAAAATGCTGAATGGCGGTTCATGCAGGGAAAGAACATATCAATATTCGCATATTCATTCAAAAACATGAAAATTTTTAATGGAGTACCCTCATTTCTTATTGAATTCCTAAAAAACAATATTTATAATGAATTTTAATAATTTTTTCGGATTTTTTTTAAACTTTATTTTGACCGATTCACCCGATTCCTGATCCGGATCGCCGATTCGCCGATCCAGATCTGTTTTTTGGAAGCCCGATCCTGGTCACCGATCCGTTTTTTAAACAGTCATGAGCACATGCGCTGCTATACCCACTCTCCCTCTAGGCAGCGCTATCCATGCGCAGGTCATTAAATCTGGGTTTCAGGCCCACACGTTGGTGAGCAACTCTGTTTTGACCATGTTTGCTAAGTGCGGCGAAATCAATGAAGCAGAGGCAGTTTTCAATGGGATTTCACTCAAAGACGGGGTTTTCCTGGTCGTCCTTGATTATGGGGCTTGCTGAGAATTGCCAAGAGCACAGGGCCTTAGCGGTCTTTCATTCTATGCTGAGCAAGGGACAAAAGCCTGATCGTGTACATATTTGGGTATTATGACAGCGTGCAATAGGGCTTGTTTAGTAGATGAGGGATTTATGTATTTGGAGATGATGAAAAGTGATCCTTTGACAAAGCCAGGAGCCGAGCATTATGCATGCATTGTGGGTTTGTTGGGCAGGTTGGGTCGTGGAAAGGAGGCAGTCCAGGTGATAGAAGATGCAGGCATTGGTGGGGAGTCAGTGGTTTGGGGGGTGTTATTGGGGGCTTGTAAGGAGAGTGGGGATTTGGAGGTGGGTGAGACGGCTATGAAGAGGCTCAAGGAGTTGAAACCCGAGGATGCTGCTACATATCTGGCTGCACTTTCAATGTATGGAGGAGTGGGGCAATGGGAGGAGGTGGCCAAAGTGAGAGACGAGATGAGGGGTGTGGGCTTGAGGGGGAGAGCAAGCTGGAGCAGGTTTTGTGCATGAATGATGAAAATGTTGCAGTCCTTTGGGATGCCCCCAAGAATTATATATGCATGGCAAGTACTGGAAAGTTTCTAGCAAGAAAGGAAATAGCAAGGGCCTGTTCTTAGCAATGGGTAACACACATCTGGTTTGCGTGAGGAATGTTTAGGGTTGGATAAAAAGCAAGATGAATTACCCATTTGGAAATGTGGAAGTCGAGGATGGGATCGATTGGTTACTTTGTTACTACACGAGATGTTCGAGTCCCACCCCTCTGAACTCATCTAAAAGGCAGTTCAAAAAATCAAACCCAGCCGACTTTTGAAAGAAAGAACAGAATGCACTCAATTACAATCTGACCATTTCCCTCCATGGCAAAATGTACACAAATACAATTGACCATTTTTTCAAAGAAAAAAGAAATAATTGACCATTTGTATGCTGTGTTTAGTTTTGAAACTATAATATACAATTAACCAGGGTGAAAAAGTCTCTCTCTCTCTCTCAATGGAACCCAAAAATCTTCACAAAAATTTAAAGATAGATATTGAATACAATAGTTCCTTGATAGACTGGGTGATCTAATTCCCCATCTCCTACTCTGTAGCTAGACAAGACAAAAGACATGGATAGACAAATTTGAATTAAAAACAGCGGCAAAATGAAGTGACCAAACCTGCTATATATCCTCAAGGACATTTTGCTGGTAACAACATACAGAAACAAATTGGGAAAAAAATCAACATATGTCACATTTTGGATTCAAGTGTGCCCATATCCAAAAGATTTTTACTACATTACTTCTTTGTCACCTTTCCCTTGCAATATTCTAATTTCTAAGATAAATTTATGTTTGATCCCCGACTTAGTTTCTCTGCAAGAAACTCCCAGAGGGTTTCACCCTAACAAGTAAACTCCATCTTCAGATAAATTTTGATCGATTCCAGGGAACTTTCTTTCTGTGCTGTACTACTCCATTGGATTACATTAGCAGTCTCCCTCATGATGATTTAGTTACGAGACGAAAAAAGACATTGGACACCAGGGTTTATAGCTGCCTCATGTGCACTACAAATTTGACATGGTCCGGAGAATGATAATATGGCATTACCAATTTCATCTCTAGGTAGACCACCCACACTGTCGGTCCAGGGTTTCCTCTTGGAACCATTTTAGTTCAAGAATATATAACTAGGGACATCACATTTTTCAAGAGCCAGGCCACCATTCCCACACGTAAATTGCCACAGAAATTCCATTAGAAGAAAGGGCATAATAACCCAAGATTGGACTGAGGAGATGCCATCTATTATGAAATGGAGATCATTACAAATATCGCAAGGCATTCAAGTTAAAAGTTGCACATTCGAGTTCGTACATTCGAGTTCGTCGAGAACCAACACATGTTCATTTGGAAGATACAGTAGCCAAACAAAAGATGTGGTGCTCAATGCTTTGAAATTACATAAAGCAGAAAGTTAGAAGCAGCAATATTAAAAATAAACAAATCAACAAGACCAGAAATACAGACCAATGTATAAAAATATGAGGTTGAATGGGAAGTTGACTAAACTTGAGGACTAGAAAATACCATATCAAAACACAATTAATATCCCTCATCTGAAATAGCAGAAATAAATCAAAAAATAATTTAAACTGAATAGAAAACAAATGCAGCACGATAAACACCAGCCATGTCTGGATTCAGAATCTAAAGCGTGTATCTGATTGCTGTTGCATGGAGCTACTCAGATCATATAGAAAACAAAAGAAGTACATAACAAACCAAAGTAGATTTGGCATCAGAAGTTTAAAGCATGAATCGACATGTAAGACTGCACTAAGATACTCATGCAGAATATCAATTTCAACAAGCACGACCCAATAAGCGAAGTTCTCATGTAAGATCAATGTTAATCTTATTATGGGCCCATGCTCCAATAAACGAAAAAAAGCCATGATAAAAATAGCAACTTCAGACGAGAGAAAATAGCAGCTGCCATAACACTGCAGCAATACAATCCCCAAAACTCTATATCATTTAGCAATGGGGCCAAAGAAGTAACAAGGCAGCAACAACAGCCAAAATTTTTATTAAACAAATTATTCACGAGAAGGGTCCCACATTATCCGCTGTCTGAACAAATTTGTCCTCTCTCAGTTTCTGAATAATCTAAGAGGAAAATATTGCACCCCATGGCATCATGACAAATGCCTCAAAGAGGTCCCGGAAATGCTCCATTTTCTCTTTGCTCATTCCATCTGTCAATCTGCAAGCATATGGAGGAATGCACCATCAGTGGAGTGTCTCAAATGATTTTTTAATACAAATATAGACTACCAATTTTTTTTTGCAAGGGAATATCTCAGAGGAGTTCACCAACACAAATAGAAAGAAACATAGAAAAAATCTTATAATAAACTTCATAGCTTTGTCCATTAATAGATTGTCAAAAGAATCGGATAGATATGATCTATGAAACTTCCAAATTACTACAAGAACATACAGGTTTTAGAAGGAACCAGAAAAACTGAAGACATAAAATGCCTGAAATGCATCCAACGCTTTAGATATGGTCCATACAAAACCATGCCAAAACAGGGCAGAGGCACATTCTGGTATTATAATTCAGATTCAAGAAGTCAAAACTTAGAAATGAAATGAGAACAATTTACATAGTAATCCTCCTCAAGACGCAACAAGATCATCATCATCATCGTCATCAGAGCCTTTTTCCAACTTTTGGGGGTCAGCTACACGAATCCTGATCTACCATTCTACTCTATCTAAAGGGTATGTGGCCATAAATCCCCATATCTTTTCTCACAACTTCCAACCATGTCCCTTACCATTTTTAAGCCTTCCACTTGAACCAATTCGTACCTCCTAACAAGTGTTGTACTAGGTCTATGCTGCACATGGCCAGCCCACCTAAATGTACTTTCTCTCATCTTATCACCAATTGGAGCCACACCCGAGTTCTCCTGAATGTATTCATTTCGAATTCGATCCCTACTTGTCTTGCCACTCATCCATCTCAACATCGTCATGTCAACAACACTCATCCTATGGGTATGTTGTTTCTTGACCGTCCAGCATTCCGCCCCATAAAGCACACTTGTCCTATAGAGGCTTCCCTTCAACTTCATCAATATGCAGCGATCACATAAAACTCCGGTTGCACATCTCCATTTCACTCACCCAGCACTAATTTTGTATGCGACATCTTCCTCAATCTCTCTATTTTCCTGAATTATCGAACCAAGATATTAAAAATGCGCTCTTTTTGGTATTTTCTGGCTATCAATTTTAACTATTTCCTCATCTCTACTCTTATTATACTAAGCTAGCATTCTACATACTTTGTCTTAATCCGGCTAATTTTAAAACCTTTAGATTCTAAAGCATCCATCCAAAGTTCTACCTTTGTGTTGACACTGCTTCGGGCTCATTGATCAATACTATATTGTCCATGACCATCATACACCATGGTACCTCATCTTGTAGGTGCCTAGTTTAGTCAAGAAGCAACAAGATATGGACCATAAAGGTCAGGTAAGATTATGAATGCCTATCTTAGTTAGGATTTTGCAGAACTAGGTGCTTCATCAAGGAATTCTTTAATAGGGAGTTTCAGTACATGGGGAGTCTGGATTCAGGAAGCCCCTGAGATTTTTCAGCACGGGAACATGGTTGTTGTAAACTTAGCCAACAGGTTATGAGTGAAAGAGATTAAAGTTCAAGACCCAAGTTTCCTGGGGAGCCATATAATAGAAGCAGATACAACTGGATTTTGCCCACATCACTTGACTCATTGAGATAACCTGGCCATCCTTTTTGTAAATTTTTGGCTAGCCTGTAGTAGTTTTTCTGTACGGGTGTGACAGGCCCTCCGAGGAGCATCTCTTCTATATCTTTAGATGATTTCAAATGGTATTCACTAAACCAGACAAAAAATGAAACTTCCTATCTAATATATGGGAAACTCACCACAGAAGCAACTGTGGAGAAAGTCATCAAGCCAAGACTAGTTTTGTAGAGTGGTCTAGCCATGTCCTAAGCATTTCTAGCGGACTTTTTTGTGATAATTTACTGGTTAAATTCTGATCAAGCTTTAACAGTCAGGACCACCCGGACACTTCAATCGTGGTCCTAAAACAAAACATCTGAACAAGTTTATTCCATAAGTCAACTTTTAAGCCCTTTTTTTACAGAGACATGGGATGTGTCTGACATAATTATTATTGCCTTTCAGGGTTTAGGTCCCCTGACTAAACCTATTCACTTTACCATGGAACACTTCCTAGTGAGCGGGAGAATGTTGCATAAACATTGCTCCATTTCTAGAAACTTGATAACATAGTTCTTTTAAAAAGTAATTCCTATCACATACGTTCAAAAACATAGAACTTTTACAATCATACTTCTTAGATATTGCCTAATCCTGCAATTGCCTTACCATTTAGTAGGAATCACAACCCATCAGATTTTTAACCATTGTGATGATGGACACTAACTTATGAGGTAGAAAGAAAAAATTCTTCGGAAGTAGAACTAATGTTTCAGAGTATGACTTAGGAATCTGGTTTTATTCATGTGAGGAAAAGAGATAAGAGGGAAAAAAAAACATATGCACAAGAATAGAAACAAAAGAGTAAAGGAAGATTGGTTTTCTAACCCCCCTTAAGTTTGTTTGAGACTTTTTGTCCAGCATAAAACTCAAAAAGCTTGGATTTGTGAAATTCATGAGAGATTGAAAAATTTTAAAAGTTCGACAAATCATCCCAAACTTCACTTTTTTTTTTTTATTGGATTGACTGTGAACAGTAAAGAGAGGATCTAAAACAATATTTTGGGTGATCTTGAGCCTCTGGTATACATCCAAAACATCAAGGATAGAAGATCAGGCATCAAAGGCTGGTAAAATATCTTCGTATTTTCTGTCTTTCAAAAGGTATTCTACAGGTCCTAATGGTAGGGGGGATTCAGGATGGATATATGGTTACCTTTTGCCCAGTTGAAATTGATAAGAATACTGCATTTTGTAATCATCCTTGTCAACGCCTTTTCCCAACTAACTGGGGTCGGCTGCAGCATTTTGTAATAAAGATACAAAAACATGGGGATCAATAGATTTAAGAAACACCTTGCCGGCAATGTGGGAGGTGTTTCCCCATGCAAGGAAGTTCCAAGTGAGGAGAAAAAAGGAAACGGGTGGCAAGGGAGGCAAGTATAGCAGAGTAGAGTTCCAGGGTGAATATTCTTTGCTATAATGAGGACAAAGGTGACGAAGGGATAATTGAAATGGTTTCCCCTCGAAATGCTAAAGCTAGGACAAGAGGGTCCCATATGAAGGGGATAATGGATGCCTTTTTCCCCCAAATTCTGAGGCTACAATAGAGAAGCGACAAAACAAGAAGTTCAAGAAGGTAGATCGAGCCCAAGTAAATCAGTATGTATTACTTTGTGGATGTATCAGGCAGGTATTGCTTTCAATGCAACTCGCTCGATGGAATGGTGGAGGTAATCGGCGAATTTCTGGGTCAGTGTTGAAGGACCCAATGCCAAATAAGCCCGTAGAAATGTGCAAATGCAATGTGGGGTCTCAATAACGATAAATACATGCACTAGTAAGAGAAGTATGAGTTTGATGAGCATGATGGTGAATTGTCCTTTAGGAATAGTGTTTTGAGGTCTATTGAAGCATTTGATGATATTCATGCTACCATTTTAGCTTTTTTTTTTAACTAACAATTGTATTGTGAAGGTAGGGAAGGAGCATGTCATTCAAAGTTGTAATATACAATGTTGCATCTATTTGGATGCTAATAATTTGTTGTGCAAAGAGTGCCCTCATTGGATACCATGTTCAACATATTGCACAGATCTCATGCTTGAGGCTATCGGCAACAATGCCACACGTAAAGAGACAATTAACAAGGCTGAGGTCATGATAATATTACTCTATAATCAAACCTTTATCATTAGCATAAGAGGAGTAAGGCCTAGGGTCACAAGATTCGCCACCTCTTTCCTAAGTCTAGAAAGCATATTGGATAAGAGAAACCAATTGAGATCACTTAAAAAGAGTGATCTAGATGCACGTGGTACAAGCATGCTAAGGCAAGAAACATGTGATATAATTTTGTGTTTTTGGAATAGGGTGGTGTACTCAAGTAAAGCATTTCTACCCAGTTAAAGCATTTCTACTCTATTAAAATTTTATGATCAATTGATAGTGAAGTGATGCTTGTTGTGTTCTTTATATGATACACTAGATGGAGCTAAAGAGATAGCAGAAGCTTTGGCCAATGATGAGAGCATTTATGGCCAAATAAAGGAGATTATAGAGAGTATGACGGCAGCACACCGGTTCATGCTTGTCAATCCCCAGAGCCGTATGGAGGTGGGTTTCAAAGGAAACAGGGAGCTTCTGAATCTCTTTTCTTCCTTAGCTGGCCTGGGTCCATCCTCTATCAAAGGGTCCATCCCTCCCCATTAGACCGCTCTTTGAGGCATTCACCCAGAATAGCCTCTCTTCTCTACTCCTCCTCTTCTTCATGAAGATTGTCTCATGGAATATCAGAGGCCTGGGTCATCCTTCAAAAAGGAAGGCCATCAAGGACCTGTCTTCCAAACAATGTCCTTCCATCTTGGCCATCACTGAAACAAAGAGCCCAGAGCCCTCCCTACTCCAAGTTCTTCAGGTATGGGGTAGACGACCTTGCCAGTGGGTAGCTCTACCCACGGAAGGTGCTTTAGGGGTAATCTAGGTTATTTGGGAACCCACCGAGCACACACTAAAATCCTCGCATATCAGGGTTTTTTCCGTCACCCTAATACTGTCCAGGCTTTTTGATGGCCTGGAGTGGAATCTCTCTACCGTTTATGGCCCCTGCTCTGCGGCCTGTAGACCGCGCCTTTGGTCCGAATTGGACTATGTCACTTCTCTCCCTTATCCTATCTGGTGCCTGGGTGGGGATTTTAATATCACAAGGTGGTCCCACGAACGTAACTCTACTTCTCATATCTCTCAAGATATGGTGGGGTTTTCTGACTTTATAACAAGGAACGACCTGCTAGATATCCCGCTCCAAGGAAACAAGTTTACCTGGTCCAGTCACTCTTCCCAACCTTCACTTTCCAAACTAGACAGGTTTCTGTTTTCCCTTGACTGGGAAGAAAAGTTCCCAAGCTCTCATGCTGTGGCCCTGCCTAAACCGGTCTCAGACCATTGCCCCATCCTCTTGTCTACCTTAGCTGTCAATA